CTATGGGATTTGTAAAAGCGAAGTCTTTGTAAGTTATATCCCATAGTAAAAATTTGAATTTGAATTTGGAAATCGCTAAACTGGAATAAAACCTCAATTCACAAGTGTTCTATAGGTTTTAGTAAAACCGGGAATGTTGGTCATTGTCTCTGTTTCATTTACTCTCAGTCAACTACCTGGTCAATGAGGATCGAAAACCACTGACAGAATGCTTCCATTTCATTGACTACAGCCTAGCTGCAACCGGATAATGTGATTTTAAAGCTTGGATTCTTTTAGGCCTGCAAAGTCCTATTTGTAATATACTTGTTTATAAATGACCCTCCTTGTTCCACCTTTTATATCCGCACTGCCTCAGGTCGACGTTTTGGTTACTTCGGCTGGTGGAGTCGAAGAGGACTTTATCAAGTGCATGGCTCCATCATACATAGGCGATTTCGAACGATGGTCCGGCGCTCATCTACGCGGTCTTGGAGTGAATCGCATCGGGAATTTGTTAGTACCAAATGACAACTATGTTGCTTTTGAACAATGGCTTCTACCGTTGTTGGATATGATGTATAAAGAGCAGGAAGAGCAGGTAAGAACTTCAGTGGCACTCTGATTAAGCCCCGTTGTATTCGTCTCGCTTCAGTGAATTCGATTTTGGAAGGCACAGATCGGTAGTTCTGATAACATCATGACTTGGGTTACTCATAATTCAAGCCCCCGCTGCAGGTCTAGTTGACTAGATAGTGCAGGTTTTATTTTTAATGTCGTTATTACGCACTGGCTTTTCCGCATTTTCGAATAAGGATAGGTAAACTTGCGTGAGTGGAACCTGAGCGCGTACCGTCTGATTTGTGTTGCAGTCTCATACAGGAAAATATGGAAAGTAAGAGAGTTCGAACGTGTAGTAATGTATGTGTACTGAGAAATGAGCAGACGGACTTTCAGTGAGCCAAACATGCCATATTTAACTAGGCATTTGAGGTGGTTGATAAATAGTGATCAGTCTTCCTTCAGAATCAGTAAGTTCGAATGTGAGAATGTAATGGAACTTCAAGTGAATGGATCGCGTCCAACCACCGAGGTAGTTGGGGATCAAGTGAACTGCGCCTTTTATCGTATAGTACTGTCAGGCACGAATATGGGATGGTCCCGTGGTGAATTTAGTGATCAGGATTAGGGGAAGGTTTCCGCTTCTTGATCAACTTGAGCGTAAAATCACTCGCATCACTAAATGTCTATCGCTCAGTTCCAGTTTGCAGTCGCGGGTCCGTCGTTGAACCGTGGCCACCTTGTTTGTTTTACCATCATAACAATGATTTTATTCCCGCATGGTCTGATTCTGTCTACTATCCCTGCATCTCCGGTTCTCCTTCTTCACCTTCATTAGCTGACCGTTATCAGAATTTATGTTTTGCTCAAATTGTAACGAGTAATGAAAATCAAATTTTCATTATAGGTAAATTACAAAGCTGTTGCTTATTGAATCGCATACGATCTCCGTACACACACTGGGTTCGGTTGTTAGTACAATTAAGTAGTAAGTTATAACGTTCACTCACGGGTGCTGAAAATTTAGTTGTTTCAATGCTTCATTTAGCCGTGACTTGAATGAATCGATAATTGGCGCACAAACAGCTTAAGGTGGAAGAGAGTTCCAGGTTTTACTAACTCTGAGGCTGAAAGAACGACGCCTTCAATTTAGCCGACTCTTTTGAAGCAAAAGTTTAACTGGATATCCTCTGAGGTGGCGATTCCTGGATTGTGTTAGAAGAGTAATACACGGTTGGTTAGGTTAATGTAGTATTGGATATACGAGGATCATGTTTCCACGTATTCGACGGTATTTAGACGAATAGAGTCCGAGAATTTGCAGTCTTTCAGGTCTTAGATTGTAACCCTTTGACCACTTTGGTTGCTAGTCTGTGCGAACGTTCAAGTGTCTTTTGGTCGCGAATCAGCCATGGATTCCAAGCTTGCATGGTATACTTGGTGTGTGGTCTAATGTATACTGATAATAAACGGGGCAAAAAGTCCGTTTTGAATGATCCAAAAGGACGTTTTAGCAATCCAACGTGTTTTATAGCCTTTGAAGAAGCTCTTGCGCAATGTGTGGAACATCCTAGATCCTCACGAACGATAACTCCCAGGTCCTTTTCGTTTGGAGAACGCGGCAATGGCTGAGTTCCAGGTAAGTATGGGAAGCGACCCCTGTGGCGCAGTGATACAACCTTGCATTTTTCAACGTTGAATTTGATATCATTAATGATGGACCATCAATAAGCTGCGTCGAGAGTTTCCTGCGAGGTTTCATAATCTTCAGGATTTTTTACCGTCCTCCATGTTTTGGCGTCATCAGCGAATAATAATGCCTTTTCTCCAAGGACATCTGGTAGGTCGTTTGTGAACGCGAAGAAATTCCTCCCTCCGGTCCAGTAGCAGTCCTCGTAATTATGAAGCTTTCGCAGCAATATATGATGGTTAACCTTGTCAAAAGCTTTGGAGAAGTCTAAATAGACCACATCTACTGCCTCTCCTGCGTCGAATGATCTTGTCCACTTATCTCGTGCAAGTAACAGGTTTGTGGTACACGAGTGTTTCCTTGGAAACCCGTATTGGGCCGGCAGAAGAATGTTATAATTCTGGAAATCAGCAGCAATCAATTCCATTACTTTTGACAGAACACGAAGAAGTGTAACTGGACAGTAGTTTGCGGAATCACTTCTGCAGTCACCTTTGTAAATAGATGAAATGATACCGTGTTTCCAGGGTTGAGGGATCTTCGTCTTATCGAACATTCTCTGGTATAAACGAGCAATGATTTCGGATATGTGATTTACCAAGGACCTCAGGGTCTGTGTGCGGATGTTGTCTTCCCCTGGAGATGGATTCCTTCGCAGCGCCAATAGTTTGGCTTTTACCGTTTCATATTTAAAGTTGAAGATGGTCAATTGGGGGTATGGGGTAGGGGTATAGCAGAAGTTATGGGAGCTGTAATCCCACTTTGTCACCTGCAGTGAACACTGCATAGAACTGGACTTATAGGAATTCGATTGCTTCGGAAGTAGTAATGGAGACGTGTCCTGCATGCCTCAGTGCCGGTATTCCGTATTTCACTTTCTTGGTGGTATTGATATGCTTATATAGGAGCTTTGGATTGGAAATATATTTATGTGTCAGGGTTTCTTCCAACCTCCGTGTATGCTCTGGCACTAATTTTACACAAAGGTTCCTCAAGATAACATAGTTCTCCCAGGTGTTGGCGGTCGGACATCTTTNTGAACTCACGCCAGGAGAAATTCTTATGTGATATCCGTTTCTTGGTTCGGCTATGGATAGGTGATAATCGCATAGGCGATGTACGTCAGTAGTGTTCTTATTCTGCCATCAATACTTTTCGATCCTTTTTGCTTTGTCATCAACAACCTTCACGAAAAATCTCAGTTGGATGGGGTTCAGTTCAGTTTTTACAATCATTAACCATGCACTTTCGTGCGCCGGTTTTGGTTTCTGTCTTTTGGTTGTCCATTT